CCAGACCGGTTTTCGGTCGCGATCTCGCGGACGTCGATGGAGACGCCGCGGTCGTTGCGATAACGACCGCGACATACCTATACCTGGTACAATAATAATATTCGTTTATCATTTTTATTAAATATCAGCGCTGCCATATCAGTACATTGCGTGATAATGATAAGGCGCACGAGCTCCAGGAGCTCGTGCAACTATCACTGCACTGAGTGCAAAAAAATCGCGTAGTGCTGTAACATGGAACATAAAATTAGTAATTAAGTGCACACTGGAATAGCTAGTGAAACATAAAAAAGGGCACTAGTGCAGTCAGGTGGAAAACGCTATTACAGAAATTTTTATTATCTATAGATAAGAAGATACGTATTTATTCTTCAATTAAACGTGCTGTAAAATCTTTTATGTGGCGTAGCCTCCTATTAGATTATTTATTTTATATTTTTATGATATTTCTTATTATTCTAATTAATATAATTATAATACTAATTACTTCTAGGTAAGTACTAATAGTACTACAGTTTATAGTTTATTGAGATCCAAGGACTGCGAATTTTTTTTTGGTGATTTTGTAAATTAAATCAAAACTTTTTAATAACAATGCAGAAACTTTTCGGATTTTGACCTGGCAACACTGCGCTGGACGCGTACCGGCCGCCGCCGATCTCCCTTTCGTTCGCTGACCGTCGTACCGACTTCATTTTCGCACGGACTTCGTCGTAACATCGCAAAATTACAGTGCCCCTGAAAAAGGTCTCCGTACAATTCTCCGAGACAACAACCACGTTGCCACCCTTACCCCGGCTCGTAGTTGTCATATATATACCATTATATATCTACTTATAATTGTCTTGTGTCAATCGTGTGAACTTAATGCCATAGTTATTTTTCGTTTACAATAAACAAATCATCTAAATCGAACCACCAGTGTTGTGTTTCAATTCGTGCTACCACCACACCTTACGACCGGCTTACCGCGGAAACCAACCCACGTCGACACTGCCGTTGCTGCGTCAGTTGTTAAGCCTAGATGATATTATAAAATATATCACGTTAGTTATTGAATAATTGGTAGATAAATTACCGCCTTGTAAACTGAATAAATTATGTATATGCACTACAGTGCATTCCCGCCTAGGAATTGTAAAGGACTGGGAGATGTAATACAAGTATAACTGATTATTTTATAGGTTATGTTATTCCGGTTTAAAATATTTGAAACAAATGATTTCTACATTTGTAACATAAAATATATTAGTAAAATTAAAAGTTGACAGACCGCCTTCGCTGAGAATCGTTTTTCTTATACATAGATGTTAAACATGGAATTCAAATATTTAAACATCTACTAAAGCGACCTCTCTAAACACTTAGTGTACGGTACTCACTTTTCCATATTTTAGATTCTGAGCGGAGCAATGAATGTATTGATTTTACCATGATGTGTGTGTCTGTCATCACGTTTTGGGTCAGTAAATGTGCTTCGATTTTTGACTTCAGTACCTCGTTTGATCAGAAAGAGAATCTAGTTGGTACTTTGGGGGGTCAAAAGTAAAAAAATACTTAATAGTTTTCTAGATAGTCGGGATAAAGAAACTAAAAATTAAGGGAAAAACGGGAAATTTTATGCACAATCAATTTTCGACAAAATCAATTTTGATTTTTGATGTAACTT